ATCAGTCCAAAAGAAAATAATAGTAATTAGCTGGTGGATTAGTTGGGTCATAATAGATGGTGAGCATTTTTATAAATTATAAAAGTTTGGGGTAATTTTCAAAATTGTTAAAAAAAAAAAATATTTTTTAGGCCAAAAACAGGTCTAAAGCTAGTTTTGAGATTTTGAAAATTTTGTTTTCAAAATCTGCCAAAATAAGGATAAAATCTATAAACAAACATGTTTTGCCAAAAATATTTTTAAATTTTTTTGGCAAAATCTATGGTCAAACGGGGCTTAATGTTCCCCGGTTCAAAATCTTATCCAACTCTTTTATTGAAAGACTATTGTTCCTTGGAATTTAATATGTTAAATGCCTTCCTAGACTTATAATCTGGTTGTATCAATAAAAAAACATTTGCATAATAAGTGTGAGTTCCATTTTTATTTTGATTCTTCTATCTTCGTTTCCCTTCACCTTCTCGATCTCCCTATTACTGGAGTTCATTTTGTTTAAATAATAGGTATGTCGAATGGAGTTAGAAGTTCTAGTCTAAGCATAACAAATTCATGCATTAACCAAATCCAAGATTTTAATTCTATAATCATTTTCCTATTTTTCTTCAGTCTATCAACGTTTCCTTTGAAAAACAAATTCCTTCATTATTCTTTCTTTCAACATCATTCGCGGACCACTTACACCCTAAAAAATAAAGAAAAACTTTCAAGAAAAAAAGAAGGAATAAAGGTCATCCCGTCTCTATTCACCCGAATTTAGAATATTTATGGTTGATTCATTGATTTTTCTATATGTGTTTGAAAGTTAATGAAATGACCAATTAATATTACAGAATGATGTCCATGCTTGCGTCCCAAGAATTTGTCATTGATTAGGAAGCTAAGGTCCAATATATATTTTCCTGTCACTAATTTCTGCGGTACCAACTGCACGTTTGTTGACTAGTTGAAATTAACTTTATGCATAAAGGTAGATGCTTGATAATACTAGGATTTCTAGAATACATAGGCAAATTTAAATTTATGGGTTCATATCTTTAAGATTCTTTGAACTTAGGTATATTTTTAAAATTATGAGTTTATATCTATTATTTCTATAATTTTAATAGAATTTTATAAATAAATTTATATTATGCGTTAGAAAGTATTTGATCAAATGAACCTGATACTACTTATATGCTGCAGCCGCCCTTGCTTGAACATGATAATAAAATCATGTAAAAACGCACCATAAAATACGTGTATATCGGTTTTTTTCTTTCTTTCAGGAAGACATCATTGCGATAAAGAAAATAAAGAGCAGATACTTTAAGAGAGAAACAGACTTTTCAACAGAAAATGTGGACAATGTAATTAACATGGGATTTCATAATGAAATCCTTTGGCTAAATATCACAAGTACAAAAAATAATGACTTGCGCCATCTCCTTAGAAAATTAAAATGAGGGCATCTCCTACGCAACTGCATTTGAAATATTGCAGGTGGTTTTTGGAGTAATTGGTCTCCAAAGTTGCTATATTTTTTTGCTGCAAAATGGGAGATGAATCATCTCCTCCATTATTATTCTCTATTATTTTATTATTATTTTTATTATTTAATTATTTTAATTTATTTCTTTATATATACTTAATTATATTTATGTAATATCTTTATAATATTAATTTTACTTCTTAACTTTGGCGTATAATTTTGATAAATTAATTTTTGTGCATTTATTATTTTTATGTAAAATTATAAGTTAATTTTATTATAAGTTATAATTGTATAAAAAATATATAATCATCTCAAAAAATTTATGGGAGTATACTAGAGGTGGAAGTTGAATATTTATGTAGTGTTTAATCTGAATTTTACTATAATGTAATATGTATTTAATTATCTTGTATCTCAATAATTTTACTTTTACTTAAATTATCCGTTAATATATATAATCTATAATATTTGCTTACAAATTATATTATTCAAAAATTTAGTTATAAAATAATTTTATATTAAATGGTTATATAAGAAAGGAATATAAATTACATGTGATGAATATGTAAAAAAAAAAAAATCTTTAATAGAAATAAGAAAATAAAATTTAAATAAAAGATAATAATATAAAATTGAAGAGAGAGAAGAATATAAAATAAAATATTCTTTTTTGGAATAAAAATATAAAGTAATGGTTAGAGTAACTTTACTCTATTTTAGAGTTTACTATATTTTGAAGGAGAAAATGAAGGCAAGGACACTAGATGACCTGATAGAAAGGATTTGCCATGTTAATGTAAAGTTATTGGCTATTAAAACTTGAGTTCCAAATTCCAATCTGCTTAAAATTTTCATGATGAATTATTTAGCAAGTTAAAATAATATTTTAATTTATCATTTATACCTGTACGTTATTTTTTTTTAATATAAAAAAAGAGTAAACGTCACTTCTTTGAGTTACTTTGTTTTTCTTGGTAACATATGAAAGATAGTGGTGGCATTTTATCATCGCACGCAGTTCTATTAGCTAATCTATTATTGTAACTTGTGATGGCTATTAATTAGTCAGTTCACTTGGATATGACCTTTCAATAATTGTCTTTTTCAAGATCGATATATTGAAGACTGAAATAATCCATTTTTCCACAGTCAATAGTTGATTCCGAAGGCGTAACGTTGTTACGAGTTATTCTCGACTTGCTCCTTTTGAACGGTCTTACGGGGAAAAGTGTTGCAACCTCTTTTATTTAAAGAGTTAATACCCTAAAATCTTTTAAACTATCAAGTTTTTGTCATTTTTCTACTTAAATTATTCGGTATTCCTAAAACTCCATGAACTATATTGTCCTTCATATTAAAATCCCCTCATTGCATTCTTCGAGGTGCGTCTAGTACACGCTCATAATTATCTAAAAAAACGTGCTATGTAGCACTACATGTGGCTATTTAACTCAGCCTAAAACCTGCCTAAACTATCACATTTTTGTCAGTTACCTATTTAAACTATCTGGTGTCCCCAAGATCTCCCTGAACTATACTCCCCTATATATTAAAACCTCATATTGGACTTTTAATGATACGTCTGTCTAACTATATTAACTTATGGTTTGTACAAAGTTTTTAGATAGTTTACTCATGATGTATTACTCTCGAATAATTGATTAATTCTAGGAGTTTTAGCCAAAATAATATCTAATGTACTGTGTTAATTTTAGGTTAATTGTGATTGTGTTTTATGTTAGACTCCAATTAATAAGTCCTTATTTATATTCACTTTGTAGCACAGTTAAAATATAAATAAAGTCATACAGTGTTGTATTTCTTAAAAGTATCTTATATTACATAAAAAAGATTACACAAAATAAAATTTTGCAAATAAAAAATCAATTGCCCAGCAATTACATTCTCTAATTCCAGATTAGATAAAGAAGGCTCAAGAGATTTAACTTTATTTTTTATAAGGTGTTGAGTTTAATAAGAAGATTTAAATTGGTATTCTTTCAACAATATGTGTAAGACATGAAAGAAGACTAAAACAAGAAAGAGAATAAAAAAAATTCAAAGGAAACAAGAGAGGGAGAAATTTTTTCAGATGAAACTCTTATGGAGAACTGAAGAAAAAAGGTTAAAAAATGAAGAAGAATGTGAAAAACAAAGAAGAAAGTTGAAAAAATAAGGAAGAATGGTGAAAAACGAGGAAGAAATATGGATATAACTGATATAAGGAGAATATTTATTAAAAAAATAAATTTGAAAGAAGGTTAGGCTAATTAACCATTATTTTCTGTTAGGTGGGCCATTTTGATGGCTTTTATTCAGCTACCACGCGTTCCCAAGCGTGTATCTACACCCGTTATGTCAGGTCAGCGACGAGGAATTTTTAATACGAGCGGCAATATAGTTCAGGGAGGTTTTGGAGACACCGAATAGTTGAAGTAGGAAACTGACAAAAATATGATAGTTTAAGGGGGTTTTAGGGTATTAACTCTTATTTAAAGGGAGAAAGTAGAAAAATATTTCTAGGGGTGTTCATGGTTCTGTTCGGGTCGGGTTTTCCCGGAAAAAAAAAAAAAAACAAACCAAGCAAGTCGGTTTTTTAAATATTGGAACCAAACCAAACCAATTAAATCGATTCGGTTTTTTTCGGTTTTTCGGTTTATTCGGTTATTCATCGATTTTTTTCTTAAATATGAGACATACACTACCAAACACATATTCCGGCGATTATATTTTCAACGTAACACTATCAAATCAATTGTTCTTTGAGAAATCTATCATTTACCTAGATATATTGATGATAATTGAATCAAATAGTGATGAATAATTAAAGTACTCAATTAAAAATTGATTATTTTTAATATGAAATAAATTCTTGTACTTAGCAAAAGAAAACTACCAATCAAACTAGAATGTAAATGCAAAGAATTAGATTATTATAATAGCAAAGAACTAGACTAAAAATATAAATGGCTAGTATGTACCATAAAATTTTAGAAACTTTATATAAAAAATACATATATATATATATATATATATATATATATAATCAAATTTGATCGATTTTTAAAATTCAAAACCAAAACCAAACCAAACCAAACCTAAAAAGTATCGTTTTTTTGGTCGGTTTGATTCAGTTTTCGGTTTGATTAGTTTTTTTATGAACACCCCTAAATATTTCAATGTCATTCTAATGGTTACACAATCTAAAACACGATTAGGTGAAAACAACTTCATTTTAATTTTTTTCAATGAGCAAAGCAATATGTTACTCCCTCCCCGTTCTCTTTAATTTTTTTCAATTGTTTTCACATATTAAAAAATACATATTTTAATATTAATTAACAATAAAATTGATCATATTAACCTTAATTTATTTATTAAAAATATAACAAATATTCTTGTGCTCTTTACTCCAAGGATAACTTTGGAAAAAAAATTTTTACTCCTCGATATTTGAAAATCAAATAGTGTGGACCTAAAAAAACAGGTCAAAAAATCAATTACAAGACATTTTCAACACAAAAAAAAATTAAGTTAAGTTAGGAGGATGGTGACTATAGGTTTTCCGATAATTTTTCTCTAAATATAGATTTTCTGTGCCTATATATGGAACTACATTCCTAAGTCAATACAAAACACATCAGCATATCCACTTACACTTCTCCCACTAAAACTAAGTAAAAAGGGTTCAAAATAACTAACACCAAAAATATACTAGCTAATGGTCCCAACACGGGAAATTTTTCTGGTCAAGAAAATTACAAACACGAAGTTTCAAACTTACCGACTCCAAAAATTCTCTACAACCTATTTATTAGCTAGATACCACTACCTCAAAATTTACAGAAGAACCAAAATTATAACATAGCCCCCTCAAAATTCTGGTAATTCTGGCAAATCATCAGTCTTTATGAAAACATTGTACCAAAAGTCCATGTCATCCTCCATTTTTGTAGCCAAAATGTCCACATTTTCTTCCTTAAAACTGGAAAATGGTAATTGAACTTGTAATTCTTGATTAGCAGCAACCATAACATGATCAGTACTACTCCAGTTATTGTCCGTTGTTAATTCGTCCGTCCAAAAACTCTCATCGATCTCTGGAAAATACTCGGACGACTCCATTACTTCTTGCTTAATCACAACCATTTGATGATCATCGACTAGTGTCACAGTTGACATTTCAGTACTAGATGAAATTTGGGGTGAGTTAGGAGCTAGCACTGGGCTATCAATGTGTTTTTGTGTATTAATAATAGTAAGATCAGAATTATTGGATGATTCAGAAGTAGTAGGACCCTTGGAATCATGATTCTTGGACTTGGAGTGTCTTTTGGAGTTCTGAGGAGGCTTATAATCTTTGAGCTTCTTCTTCAAGTGGGTGTGCCAAACATTTTTTATTTCATTGTCTGTTCGTCCTGGTAATTTTGCTGCTATTGCAGACCATCTGCACATTTGAGGAAATTTTTATTAGCAACTGAGGTGAACCAAAAAAGAGCTTTAATAGTGTAAAAATTCTTTTATACTATCAAATTACGTACGTGACAGAAAATTACAAGTAATTGTTCATAAAAAATGAGGCTAGTTACCACTTAAATTATGTTAAAATAAAAATTCATTTAAGTTTTCAACATATATAGGTTAAATCTAACAAGTATTTTTAGATTAAGAGAAGTGGACAAACATAACGTGGTGCTTAAATTTTAATAATAGCGTTACAAAATCCTTGGGAGATATTAGCCATATGCATTGATTTTTTTAACAGTTGATGCATAGACTGGCAAATGAGATTTGAGTAAATAATATTCTAATTATCAACTTGTCTAAGCGAATCTTTTCCCCCCTCTATATGTATTATTCCTTGAAAGAAACAAAACGACATAGAAATAAAAAAATAAGATATGTGTTCAGTGTTCTTTGGCTTAGATATACTAATAGATCTTTCTTTTAAATTTTCTAAGTACTCTCTGAAAGTAAAGACAAAAGTTTTTTTAAATAAATCCGCAATCTAAGGCACTATTGCCTTTAGAAAAAAGGGTCTTTTTCCTTATGTCCCCTCCCCCCAAAACCCCCCTGGCATAATGATTATCAGCACACAAGGCATTACTGAATGTGATCAAGACCACACTCTTACAAAAATATTCAGCTTTAAGGGTAATTTATTATGTGCAGAGTTTAATTAATTTTAGCAATAAAAAGGAGAAGCAAAGGATTAAGATTTTAATTTGAAGGTATAGAAGAAATTGATATAAGAAATTTGATCTGAATTATTTTTTTTAAAAAAACTAACCTATTGCCAAGCATTTCATGTAACTGGATAATTGTTTCTTCTTCTTCCTTGGTGAAATTTCCCCTCTTTATATCTGGTCGCAAATAATTCGTCCACCGCAGTCTGCAACTCTTCCCGCATCTCAATAGTCCTAAGTGACGAACAAAAAAATGGAAATAACCAAACAAAATGAATAATAGGTTTCAATTGTAAACAAAAAAACTCAAGAAAAATAGATTTAGAGACGGATTATATCACTGGTTAAAATGTATATGACAAAACTCATTCAAAATCCACTAACTCTAAAACCTAGATCCGTCTCCGTCCAAGTTCGATATAATTTTTTGGACCAAAAACAAAAATTGGAAAATGTTGTGGGTAGATTTGTTAAGGAAATTACCAGCCTGTTTGGGAAGGGCTCGCCAGTTGCCATGGCCATTAGTTTGAATGAAAGAGATGAGAATCTGATCTTCTTCAGGAATCCATGGCCCTTTTTTCAGCCCCATTTTCTCACAACAAGGAGCTCTCACCATTTTCTTTTGCTTGATCTCTTCTTCCTCTTGAAAAATTGATCACTTGTTTTTTTTTCTTCTTCGGCTATCTTTCTGAATTCTCCTTGGTTTTAGGTATTTCTTTCACTCTTTCTTTCTTCCCAAAAGGACGAAAGAAATGCCAAAAAGCTCAAAACTCAAGAGTAGAAGCAAAATGACCAGGGATGTGTATTTATGCTTGTGAAGAGATTCCTTATTTTAATAGCAATAAACGACTAGAGCATCCCATTTCTAAAAGTACTTGCTTACTGTTTCGACGAAATTGGATCTCTCTCTCTCACACACACAAACATTAAGTAAAACTTTATGTTCTATGCAATGACGGAATCACACAAAATAAGACTACTTAAAAAATAATTGTTAATAATTTTATTTAGTAATAGTATTGATTACTAATCTAGAATAAATAATAAATTACCTACTTAAATTGTTGTTACGTTTTATTTAAATCATCACATTATCGGTTCATATAACTTAAATTTATGGTAATCGTACTGTCCGTCTATATAAAAATCATTTCACTATAGGTAATATCTCTTCAATTTTTTTTAAAAAAAAGTAAAATACAAAAGCACGTTTAAGTGATTATATGTTTACAGATGCTACATATATTAAAATGTGGACCAATAATATTTTCACTAAATTTAACACAGGGAATGATCAAATCAAATGATGAAAACAATTAACAAGTACAGTACATAATATGAGGGTCTTGAGAGATTTTTACAGCATATTCACATTCGTTGTACCTGGACAGAAAATCTTTAAAGATTGTGTAATGCGTAGATTATTTGGTATTTAGTAGGATAATAACAGCAAATTACTTACTTTTGTTACACTTACTCTAAATATATGTTAATATAAGGAGCATTTCTTATATATTGTTAAATATTCTACATTTTCAGCGTGTGGACTCTGTACAGGAAATTTAGTAATTTAATAAGAATTTGTCATGAAGTGATTTGGTAAATTAACACGAGCTAGAGAGTACTGACTACTGAGTACTGACGAAGGCGCAATGAATGCACGTGAACAAAGTTATCTTCTAAGCGACAACTCAAGTTTTTATTTGCAAGTATGAGTAATCGAATTAAATATATGACAAATAGTGAGTGACAAGTTAGGGTTTATTTATTAGGAAAATTACCGCTGTGAAAGATTTCATATATACTAAAGTGGATTACTCTATTGGTAAGCACTATTCACTTCCAATTAAGAGTTTGTGAGTTTGAGTCACCCCAAAAGCAAGGTGGGGAGTTCTTGGAGGGAGGGAGCCGAGGGTCTATCGAAAACAGCCTCTCTACCTCAGGGTAGGGGTAAGGTCTGCGTACACATATCTTCCCCAGACTCCACTAGTGGGATTATACTGGGTTATTATTGTTGTTGTTGTAGTAATAGTACTTTTGATTAATTCCATAGAATATTCAAAACAGTCTCAATTTAGCTAGCGGTTTTCTCGTTAAGAGGTCGTGTTTGGCAACGTGTATCAGAAAAATAATGCATGCATTATCTTTATGTATTAATAATACCTTATTTGGTACATTTTTTTCAACATATATAGAACTAATATAAATATCCTATTTGGTATTAGCAATACCAAGGTTGCCCCTCAAATCCCTCAAAACCTATTCCAAATCTTAATTTGTTAAATTTGATTTTGCATTCGTTCAAAGTATAAACCGAAGTTTTCTTTATTTGTTAAAAATTTACCTTTTTTTAATAATTGATATTTTTTATTATATGTTATAGCAATTAAATTTTTCTTCTCTTTTAACTTTAATATTTCAATTAGTTTTCTCTTTTAGTTTTGCTCTCCTGTAAAAAAAAAAAAAAAAAAAAAAGTTGGCTTTAGAGAGATTAAAGAATGTAGAGGGTAATAAAACTGTTGCAATAAAAATAATGTATAAAGTTATATAATGTGGATGGTATTTTTATAACTAATCAATATTTTTAGAAATTATGCAATACTTTAATACGTCAAATCAAATAGTGAATAAAAAATAATCTCAGCATAACTAATCAAAACATTAGTAATATCAATATTATTAATACACCTTATTCATCACTATTCTTATACCTCCTAACAAACGATCCCTAAGTTGGGATAGATAACTTCATTCTCTGCACACGCTAACTTCAGGCTTGTTTGGCTAAACTTTAGGCTTGTTTGGCTAAACTTTCATATTTTGCTTATTAATAAATCATAAGAAAACTCTTTTTTGAAAGTTTTGAGAAAGTACTTGGAAGAGTAGCACTTTCTCTCTTTTTTTAATTGTGTACAGTGAATTTTTTTAAGAAGTTTATTTGTATGTCAAATTATGAAAAAGTATAAAAAATATATGTATATATTCACTTTACAAGCAATACCAAAGTATGAGTAAATTTCATGAGTGGGCCGGCTAATTCAGGAAAAAACTTTTACATGTGTATAGGAAGACTAGAACATGTTTAATAAACCTTAGTCGACCTACGGAGGACAACAATTTTCTTTTCCAATATGAGATTCTCTTTTTTATTTTCTCCGGTAGAGGAAGGTTCTCTCTTTATTCTCTTGAGGGACAAGAAAACATCTAGGTACTTGATAGGAAAACTATCATTTTTTTTTATTCCTCTGAAATTTCTGCAAGGAGCTCTGTAGAACCTATAAAAAGGAGATGGTTGTGGCGCGAAGTACTCTTGTGCACCTACCTCATTCGGTTCTTGGTCATTCAACTTTGGGTTCATTACGCAAAAGTCATTTTTCTTCTTTTTGTTACGTAAAAATCATTTAACTTTGTGTTCATTATCCAAAAGTCACTTTTCTTTCTTTTGACATAAAAATTATTTTACTTTGCTCTATTTATCACAAAAGTCTCCTTGGCCAGATTTTATAATACTTTTATTTGAAAAGTCTAGTATGTCCTTGACATTAATCATCTCATTTATGTAATACATTCTATATTATATACTATATAATATATTTTTACTTAGGTATTTTACTTATAATTAAAATAATTTTAAATTATTTTATTTATTATTTTGATAATATATTCATACATTTAATTTTTTCATGGCACTTAATTTATTTAATCGTATTCAAGCATGAACATATTTTAAATATAAAAATGATATTATTTTTTTAATATTATTTAAAATAATATAAACATATTTCTTTAACAAATGATAATTTTTATAGTCAATAAAAATTTTAAAAAAAGTTCAAAGTTATTTATGTTTAATATTAAGTTTTTAAAAGCTTTATCTGTTAGTATTATTTATTTGAAAGTATTAATATGATGTGTCATTTTGCTAAATGTGGGTATTTTATTTATTAAATTAATGGGTATTGCTTGGCTGTTAATCAATTAGCTTTGATTTTTTAATTTTCATCAAACATATTTCATTAAATATAATTAAGAACATGAACTTGAGATTTATTCAAGGTAATGTTACTGACAAATTTAATAATGCTACTTATATATCTTGAAAATTAATATTAAAAAAAATAAATGTACGAATATATTACATAAATGGGAGAATTTATAATGTCTAGGGCATAATAGACTTTTCAGGTGAAAAATTTGTAAAATCAGGTTAAACTGATTATTGTGATAACTAGAACATAATAAAATAATTTTTGTGTAACAGAAGAAAGAAAAATAACTTTTGGGTAATGAACACAAAGTTGAATGACTTTTACGTGACAAAAGAAAGAAACATGACTTTGGGTAATAAACACAAAGATGAATGACCATCCATGAAATTTATTCTCAAAGTAGGTAAGTGATTTTAAATATTTATAATAAGAGGCTTTAAATAAGCTTTTCAATTTTTGTTTAATTAAAACATAAAAATAATATACAAAATGTAACTAAACCAAAGTAATAAATATTGGATAGGGAAAGAAAGGATAGCGTGAGAGGCAGATCATATATTAAGTAGAGATATTCCAGTAAATAAAAACTTCTCAAGATTACTTTTTCTTGAAAAGATTAAGTTTAAGTTTTGTTTCTGCAGCTACCAAGGATAGATTACAAATTTATATTCCTCCCAGCTACTATTACTATATCTGGACAATATATGCAACTTTCTGTGCAACTTTGAAGAACGTAAAAGGATACAAACTTTAACAATAAATAAATAAATAAAAATCACATACTATTCAAATATTTTCATATAAATTGTTGTGTGTCTCAAGATATGGATCTTAGTGGTTGCTCATATCTAATTAAGATAATATAATATACTACAGGACGTGGTGTTATCAGGAATTTAGGATCAACCCACTTGATCTGCTCACCTCTATCTAAGAGGATTAAACACCATTAATTTAATATTGAGCCTTATATCTTTTCTTTTTCTTTTTCTTTACCTTTTCCTCGTAGCAGTAATTAGGCTAATTAGTGCTAAAATCACTTGATATAAATTGTCCTTTATTTTAGGCGTAAATTCTATTAAACTAAAAGTTAAACTTACACCAAAACCAAGCTTAATTATTATGGACGAACGTAACAAGAGGAACGCATTTGAACTAGTTAGTTTCTGCATATTAACCGTTAATATGCAGAAATTAACCCCAGAACCTAAGCTTATGAATTAGTGTGACAAGTCAGTCTAATCCACCTCTCAACTATATAGCACATAATCTCAAATGATTTTAATCAATTTCATTTCTCTCAACAATAGATCGTGATACTTAACTCGACTCAATTACTTTGACTTAGCCGAGTCAATCACTGCAATTGAGATTTTAAATTTATGGATTCTAAATTTTAGAATAACGACTTAAAATACTAATGACTATATTTTGAATTTAATATTTATATATATTTAATAATTTTTTAACACAAATACTCTGATAAGACAAAAGTTACTGAATCCAAACTAACTCTTAACTTGGCTTCCGCCTCCGTCTGTTCACCACTCATACAAACTTGATGAAATTAAGTTGTATTAAGGAAATCCTTTTGTCTCAATCAAATAATATAATGACCTCAAACTTTATACATGTATAAATGTACAAGCAAAAGCACTCACATAGTCTCAAAATATATAGTACATAGTTAATTGTACTGCTATAATCATGACCAAGTCATTTTCAGACTGCAGTTTTTCTACCTAGCAGTCTACATTAATTTAAAAAAACTAAACAACTATTAGGAGTGGAAAAAGCATGCCCTAAAGGACAAATTTAAGATTATTGCAAAACAAAAGATAAACAAAACCAATTGGCTGAAAGTGTCTTCATTCTTTTTCTCACGTTTATCATTCTATT